CATTGCATACAGGAGTAAACATTTAAACGGATCAAATTTCTTCTGATACAACAACCATCGATATATAATATTATTAAAAATGAAAAAAAAAAACAAATACACTTTTTGGTTAGAAATTTTTTTGTTTTCCAACTAAAAAAAATCAAAAAATGTTGGTGAATTCGAGAGAATTGAAGCTTTTTCAAGTTGTCAAATATATTTATTACAGAATATTTGTTGATACATCAATTACTCGTATTTGAAATATGTTCGCTCATTTATGTATTACAAATTCAACGAATACAATTAGATGAGTGGCATACAGATGAGCCATGTCAAAAAAAAAAACAAGTCAACTTTCTTCGATCCAGCTCAACCTATTGATACCTCCGATTCGTATAATGAATAATTCTCACTTATTAGTCTACATTACGGTTCAGAATTTAGTTTTACTTTCATAAGAAAAACCTAAAGATAAAGATAATTTTCATTTGAAAGAAAATGAATGGTGATGCAAAACGAATCTACGAGACCAAGATGATATTGCTCCTAAAAAAAGAAATTTAATTGTCTTTAGATTCTATAAACTTTCACGTGGGCAGACAAACGTTCTTTTTTATGTAGGTGGTGATTATTATTTTTAATTTAATTACTAAATTATGTACAAGTGAAATGACATATTTATGAAGACTATGTACATTTTGAAGGATACCAATAACTTGTCTCTTGTAATTAATTATATCGAAAGAAGCAATTAGAAAACTATTCATGCAGTAGATACGGTTTGATAATTTCTTTCGAAGTAAAAGTTGAAAAATTAATATTTCTTTTGCTCTTCACTAACGTATAAAAGGACAAAAAAATAAATAGATACTATTACATTTCGGTTCTAACCGTTATTTTCGTTATTTCAACAACAAACATCAAAAGCAAGATATCACCATCATGAATCAATACATAGTTTTAACCATTCTGTTGGCATTTATTGTTACAAATTCAATGGCTCGAGAAAATAATTTCGAAAATGATAATGATGATGATGCCATGGACAATACCATGAAAAGAAAATTCCCTGATAACATATTAGCAGCAGCTGGTTTAAAAAGACCGCACAAACGTGATGATGCAGGCTCCAGTTCGATTCCTATAGATGATGCTATTATTGAAGTAATTAATGATTGGATAGAGGAGAATCCGTCGCTGTTAGAAGACTTACATACTAAACTGGAACATATTTACTCGTCTAAGCGACACAATGGTTTCAACAAGATTCGTCAATTTTAGACATATATGTTTAACTTTTAATACTATCGACTATTAAAAAAAGGAAGAAATTTACTTTAACATGTACAAAATATTTGAATTGAATCTTAATTAAGATAGTTCACTTTTGAGAAGAATATAAATCATAGACATTATCATACATTTCTTTTATAATGATGTCGTGATTTAGAAACGTATTCATGCTCGACGTTAATCAAATGAGAAATATTCAAATATTGTTAGAAGATGAAGTAACAGTTTTTGTAAAATAATTATTTTAGAAATGAGAAGAAAATAAGTGAATAAAGTTTTGACAATCGTCGTAGCCATAAGAATCATTTATAATCCATATGATATTTAATAAAAAAACTGATTATAAACATTGATGTTGAAATCAAGTTGTATAGGAATAATAATTTCCTTCTTTTTTGAATGATTCATTATTCACATAGACATCAAGCTTATTGTAAATGCTAAAATATTTCGTTTTGAATCAATTCATATTTTGAATAGTTATATTAGCATTGTTCATCTGCCATATCATTGACAATTCCATTATTAAATCATTTCATTTATTCAATTTGAAAGAAACAAATGAATAAGATCATTAACCCGATTGAAGTCTTATGGATGATTCAGAAATTATTTCATGTTAAACATAATAATTATTTCGAAGCGTTTCGTTATCAAGTACATAATATATTAGAATAAAATGTTTATTCTATATAACTCGTATGTATGAGTATTTCTCTTTATTTTATGTTAAATCACTTTGTTTTATTTTAGATTTTATTCTTTTTTTTTTTTTTTAAACAATAAATATAATTAATCACTAGAAATTAACATAGGTTATGATTAATAAAACGCTCATTTCTTATTCTAATCTTTACATAAATTTGTACTAACTATGCTTCTGTTTTTGAATTTTAAATAAAAGAAAATTATTCATTCCACATAAGAATGTTCTATGTTAATTATTCCACAAGAAAGAATTGACGATTATTCAAAAATTATCATTCAGAGTGTAGACCAAGTGAACGTAATCATAAATAGTAGACTTATGCTAGGCTTCCTATTTTTAGAGCATAGGATGTCACTTTGTTTTGGTGAAAGATAGAAAGCATGATGTTTTGGATAAAGTGTAAATAATTTGATGACAATACGAAAAGATGATGTACATTTAAGAAGCAAAAATACAGATGATGTTAAAATATAAACTCAAAAATGGACGATTGGGAAATACGAAAACGATAGTTCTAATCTCTGGTGTAATTTGACCTCAAAAGATTTTTTGTGGTGACAAATTGCGTGGAAATATAAAAACTTTCCGCTTCATAAAAAAAAGCCAAAATTTGAATCAATTGTATCACCTTGAAAATATTACACATTTTTGGTAGATTTTTCATAGCGACCTAATTAGAAAAATGATCAAGGAGTGCATAAAAAAATGCGTTGAGTGATGAAGTGAGTGTAGGTGTATGCCTAGTTGACATGATTCAGATTTTTTGTTTCGACTAAGGACATCGTCAAATGGCTTTTTGAATAAGATTCAATCGTGACAAATGACGTTTTAATGAAATAAGTCCTAAATGTTACTTTTTAAACCGCTTTGTTTGTTTTTTGTTTCAAATA